TTTGTTTGTTTGAAAGTTAATAATTGAAAAATCATTGTACTGTACATGAATTTATCTGAATTTATCAAAAAAATATAGTAATTATTTTTCATTAGGCATTTGATAACAAATAGAAAAATTAAATTACATTAGAGGTATATATATATATATACATAAAATTAATATAACTTATATATATATATATATATATATATATATCTAAAAATATATAAATTATTTGACTCCATATTTGCTTTTTTAAAAATATAATTTATTTATAATTAATTAGGATTTTAGGTTGTGACATTTTTTTTAATATATAATCTCAAAATTGACAACAAATTTTATAATATCATTTAAAATGACACTATTATTCATATTTATATAATCTATAACTAATGAGATAATAATTTTCTCAAACATATATATAAATACAAAAAAATAAAAATAAAATTACAAATTCATTTGGTTTTCAAACTCTTCAAATCTTTTTWTATATATATATATAATTTAAATGTGATTTTTCAAAATGATATGAAATCATATCATGTATTAGAGATAATATGAATAAAATTATCTTATATATATATTACTGTATATTTAAAAAAAATATTATAGACTTTAATTTTAATATAATATAACAAATGAGATAACAACAAATTTTGTCATTTTTTAATAAAAAAAGCTTAATATATATTCATTAACCAGTGGTTGGGCTCATAATAATAATCTTATACTAGAATAAAGTATTGTACAATACATTTAAAACTATATATATCTTTAAAATGTATTTAAATATTACTTTATAACAACAACAGTAATAAAATAAAATATTATGTTATTTAATATAATTTAATACAATAAGTAAATTATGCATAATAGTAATAATAATAATAATGAATTTGAGTTCACCCCTCCATATAGGAAACATAMTACATAATAATATAATACAAATTAAATTATGGGATCAACAAACAAAAATGATTTTTTTCMTAAAATATGTTTTATCGTTTTTGAAAATTGTAATGACATTTGTTTGCCAATTACTCACTACCACTACTACTACTAAACCCAATGTTTTATATATAATTATATATATATATATATGTTGTGTCCWATCATCTCATTAATGAATTATATGAGGCCTTAATTGCAATGATGAAGAAGTGACAGAAAGAGTGTGAGTGCTTGAACTCAAAACATGAGAGAGAGAGAGAGAGAGAGAGAGAGAGAGAGARATGTCTTTTTCGTTTATGAGTGCAAATATATGTCATAAACCCATTTATTTTAAAGCCATTGAGCCAACACAACTGTWTGAYTGTATGAGCAGCACTGGTACCAGAAATAGCCTTTTTTTCTCTCTCTTAACGATTCTTATCAATTAGGCAGTGGAAAGGAAAGAGAGAGAGAGAGAGAGAGAGAGAGAGTCGGTCTGTTTTATTTGTTGTCAATGTTGTGTTAGCTTTTACAACAGTGACATTCAGTATAGTAGTAGTGATAAGGGTCCCAATAATATCACTGTAGTAGTGTCTGTAATCTACAATATAAATTTATATATATAYACACACACACACATAGCACAGGTATCTATAATATATATATATGAGTGCACAGGTGAACGTGAATCTAGAAATTTAAAATGTTTTTTACGGTTTAAATACTATTACTCTCGTTAACTGAGTTGTAAATCTTTGCCCATTATTTTTTTGTTGCTTTCTCTTTATACATCCATATACTATACCTATCTCTCTCTCTCTCTTTTTCAACCTACCATTCCCTACTATTAATTGATTATACTTAAAATTTTGGTGAAAACAACAGAGACAAATGGCAAATAGCATTTGGCCTTTTTCTTCACTCACTCGATGGTGTTTATTATCACTGGTGACTATCAGTTCCCATAGAATTCCTGGAAATACCTTTATTAACAAAAGTCAACCAAAATTTTAATACTATTACTTTTACTACTATTACCACTACTACTACTATAGCACACCAAACCCATACGCCAACAAAATAAATGTATGGCCAGGAGTTTCCAGTATACCGAAAGTCAATACCACCTCTATTTTAACTCAATCTTTTTTTTTCTCTCTCTATCTCTTCAATACAACCCAACAAATACCAATATATTACAATATTACTGCCTGTTTAAGGGGTCGCTCATGTATATTAGTAATACCGATATACATACAGTACAGTATATAGTAATATAATACTAATATTATTGTCATCCTAAAGCCTACCTAAGCATTACTTTTTTTTTTTGTTGAAAAAGCATTATTATTATTATTACCTGTCATTCAATTGGGTCTCTGTTATCGTATAAAATCATTTAGCTATTTATTTTTATTTATTTTTTTATTATTGTCTCATAAAAGTTTTTTTTGAGCAATTTATTATTGACAAATTAACTATCTATTAATAGGAGTTTTAATGTAATTATTTATTTATTTTTTGGCTACASTATCCAATGTTAAGCCAATCTATATTAAATTTCTATAAAATATTTAATTATAGCATTTTATTTATACACTATAATATATGATAATAATTTTTAAAAGTGAAAATTAAACTATAGTACATATAATTATTATATATATATTTATGAAACAAAAATTTATGATTTATTTTTTGTTTATTTGCTAATTACATTAAATATTTTTAATGTATCAGATAATTACAAATTATATATTTTTCAATAGATTTTTTATAGGCTTTCAGTTTTCTATGTGTGTGTGTGTGTCTAATAAATTGGTTTTTTTTGTTTTACTTTTTTCTTATATTTGATCAATTAATAATAATAATAAAAAATTTAATATAAAATTACCATCAGTAAGTAATATAATTAATTTATTAGATAAACTGCAATTTATATTATATTTCATATTTTATAGTTTTTAAAAATTTATATATACTGATCATAAACATAGATTTTCTATAAAAATATTTTAGTTATTTATTTTTTTGTTGTTGTTGTTGATAGTTTAAGATTTAATTTGTTTTTAATWTCAAATATTATATATTTTATATACAATATACTGTATAAAAGTTAACTAAAAAAAACTTTTTTTTATTGATTTGGAATTTTTTTATCAAATAATGATTGTTAGATTTAAATCAAAATATTTTGAGAGCAAATGGAGTTATAATAAAAGTGATGTTAATTTTTTGTTACTAAATCTATTGATAAAGAGAGAGAGAGAGAGAGAGAGAGAGAGCATAGTTATGAAGAGCCATTAAAAAATAAATTTGTAATGAGATAACACATACATATATTTATATATATAAAAGTATTGTGAAGTGTAACGACAGGTGGCTTTCCTAAGCTCATCCCTGAGCCCAATATTTACAGTACTATACACAACATGTATGGATGTATGTGTTCTCTCCTCTCACACATCACACACACAAACACATAATATCCTGTTTGACTATATATTTGATTTTCACTACTCATTTAACAATTCATTGCTTTCTTATTATTATTTAGTTATTTTATTTTATTTTTTATGTTTCATTTAATATTGAAGTTTTTCTATATTATTATTTTTTTTGTTTTGTTATTATAACTCTCTCTCTCTCTTTCTTTCTTCACAAAATATTTCTATACACTGTATAGACTATAGTATATATTGTATCGGTATATATAAAATATATAATACATTAATAAGTTATTATTATTATTAATAATACAGTGTATAACCTAATCTATTGTGTGTGTCAGAGATTTGCTAATGATTTTTCACTGATTGACTTAAGACTTTCATTTAAAAAATATATGAAAATATATTTACTCTTTTTATTATTATTATTATCAATACATTGTTGTATAATAATAAATGATGAAAAAATCAATTTATTTATATATATATATAGAAAAATATATTACAATCTTATTGTGAAAACAATTGTTTTCAAACAAATCCAATAAAAATTATTGAAATATTATAAGACTTACTCAGACTAGTAATTAAATGTAAATTATTATCAATGTTGTTAGCAATTGCATACTTATGTACTGTATATAAACGCATTTAGTATATAAAATTGATTAATGTTTTTTTATGAATAAAAAAACAACAATTTTTATAATATCATATTATATATATATATTTGTTATTACCTTTAATTACCTGTAATAAACTTAATGTGGATTTACTGGATATCACTTGCCATTGCATTGCAATAATCACAAGACACACACACACTGTATAGTTGTTTTGCATACAGTAATAATTTTTTCAATGGGAAAATAAACTAATTTTTTTTGTTATGATATTACCTTATATTGAATTAATCTTATATGAGAAGATAATATTTAAAAAGCTATTTCCGATCGAAAAATATACAAAAAAAAGCCCAGCAATACATACATATATACATTAGTTTGGCATTAAATTTTTTTTAACAACAAATAATAAATGATTATAAATACATATATTATATACGATATATAAATTTATTGTGTATACTAAACATAGTGTGTGTGTGTGTGTGTGTCTGTATGTGTTTGTGAGAGACAAAAGGGAAACCTTGAAAAAAATATGAAATGGTTTGTCGTCTTTATTTGCGTGCAAACCCCAAACCCCAAACCCCATCTCCAAAAAGGGTCTCTCTCTTGCTCTCACTCACTCTTAGAGCAGCAGCACAGGTATGGTAGGAGTGTTTTCTTGGTATATACCTATTTGCTGCGTGTGTTTTTGGCTAATGTACAGGCATTGAATGAGAGAGATAGATAGGGAGAGAGAGAGAGAGAGAGAGAGATAGGTATGACTGTTGAAACACTAGAATACCTGTTTCTTGGCTCTAAGTTTTTGAGAGAGAGAGAGTCGGCCGTCAGGAATGCTTTAATCTTATATAGAGGAGGAACTGGAGGAACAAAGCCAGTAATTTGAAGAGCCCTTACAACAGGCACTGTCTTATATATATATATACATACAGTATGTCTTATACCTGTATGCATATACCTGTGTAGTCTTTTTTTTAGGCAAACCTGTCTGTTGTGTGTGCGAAGAGTCCACTGCCCAGAGGAGTCATCAGGAGAGTGGTGTTAGTAGTGTTTGTTGTCTTGTGTGTATGTGTGCCCTAACAGTCCTCATAGATATATTGTGGTGTCTTTCATGTTTTGGTGGTGTGTGTAGTGAGTGTGTGAGTGTGTAGAGCCAGAGGCTAAGGGAACTACTACTACTACTATTACAACAGGCATGAAGTGAACTAATACACCTAAAAAAAATTTTTAAGGAGACATGAAAGAGAAAGAGGAAGAGGTCCGCAAGCGATTTAACCATATTTTTTATATGTCATTTCATAATAATAATAATAATATATATAAACAAAACATTTATATATATATTTATTTTGTAGTGAAAGCGTGTGCTCTGAAATAGTTTATGTCTAATATATGTCTATATATGTTGTGTTTTTATTATAACCTYAGGAGCGCCGGGAACTGGTGTCAGGTCATGGAGGAGCGTTAGGTCCCATTACAAGCATCGGTGGTTCAAGTGGATCGTTCGGATCGACACCACGACTGACTCATACGCCAACTTCGCCCGATTTTCAGCCGCCATACTTTCCGCCGCCATATAATCTACCGCAACAACAGCTGGACTTTCACCATCATCACGCTGTCAATGCGGCCGCTGTTGCGGCAGCCGATCCGTACTCGCATCTCAACAGTCTGGCCACTCAACAGCACCAACAGTATCATCAGCTACACCCGGCCCAGACTGGCCGACCCAATCATAATGTGCTGCAGGGAGGCGGYGGCGGCCGACGGGACGACAACGATGCACAGCACTTGCAATCGCATATGCATTCGGCAGCCCTGCACGGCGGCTACGGTGACGTCACTGTATCGGTAGCCGCCACTGTAAACGCTGCCCGACGTAGTACAGACATGGTCTACGGGAATGCCCGCCGACCCGATGTGCTCATGCATTCGGGTCATACACTCAGTGAACAAGATTTGCTCAATCTTCATAATGCCGGTGCCCTACCATCGCTAGATGACACACAGGTATGTTATTTATTTTTTTCTGGTTGTTGATGTCTGTCTCATGCTATACATCCCCTAAGCTATTCCCAAGTCATACCCGTGTGTGTGCGCGTCTATCTATATGTGCGCGCGCTTAGGCTACCGCTATCTACCCCTGAAGCTATCCGTTTAACAAATTATATATAAAAATTGTTAAATAATTTTTAGGTTTGTTTCGGGGTTTGTCTGTATGTTTGTTTGGTCACAAATTCATTACAATCATATAATAATCATTACTGAATAAATATTATTGTTATTATTATTAAATTAATTATAGAGTTTTTAAAATTTATTAATCCAGTTATTTTCGTTTTAAATATTTACTTATTATTTTTTTTGGTTAAATTTTTGTTGTTTGTATTGTTATTTAGTTTTACTTAATAGAAAAACAATAATAATAATAATAATATGACAACTTTTTTTTWAAAAATACATTTTTAACTACAAGTCATATTATATTTCTAGCTATTATTATTATTATGAAATATATTAATTAATTATAAGTTATATATGAATATGAAGTTATAATTTATAATAATAACAATAACAATGTATAACTATAATCAACAGTTAATAATTTTGAAACATAATAATAATAACAAAAAATATATAACAATAATAATAATTATAAGTCTTTTTCATTCAATTCAAGTGAAAATCAATTTAATAAATGAATTGAGAGATATTGTCTAAAGTCATGTTTGCATATAAAATTTGAATAATGYTATACATATATATACAAAAATACATTATTATTATTAATAATAATAAAAAATTTTATTTATTTATTTTTTTTGAAAACATTTTGGCAGTAACTCTATTCGTCATCTCTCTCTCTCTCTCTCTCTCTCTCTCTGTCTCTCAATCCTTAACCTAACATAGCGTTGCATAACAGGTCTCTCTCTCTCTCTCTCTCTCTCTCTCTCTTCTGGTCCTATTGTGAAACACTAGCAAACATTGAATTTCAAATTCAAACTCTCAAAAGAAAATAATAATAATAATAATAAAAAAATACAATTATGTATTCAAATGAAACTAACTATTTGTCACGCCATCCGAAAAAATAAGCTATCGGTGCCCATGCTATGTCATATATTATAATACTGTACAGTGTTTATACATGTATATATATATATATTATAATTTAGATCCCATGCCATCATCATATGATTAGATTTGATAACAATGCACACAACAACTACTAGTGACCAGATTTAATGGTCGTAACTATTTTTAGGTAATTTTTAAAAAATATTTTATTAAACTTATACTGTAATTATGTCATATTTATATTAGTATTATTATTGTAAACTAAATCATTATTTTGTTGTTGTTATATATGTATGTCTACAGTATTAGTATTACACAACTAGTATTGAAGTTAAAAAACTAAATAAATAAATAAATATTAAGTACCAAACATATTGTAAATTATTATAAGTTATTTGTTAATATTTATTARAAAATTAGCGCTAAAACTAATAATAATAATAATATATATATACGATGACCATTAAGACAATGAATCTAATGGTTTGATAAATTGGCAAACATTAACATATATGATATATCGATTTATTTATATATATCTATATAAATATTGTATTAAGGTTTAAGTTTATTAAAACATAATTATTGCCGTAATATATATAATATATGAAAAACTTTTATCCAACAGTTTGGCTCATTTTGAATGCCTCACTAGCCATGCATTCATCTCTTTAAACATTTCTCAACCATTTTTTTGTTGTCTAATATAATATATTATTTTTGTGTTGTTTTTTATGTTACTTAAGACTCAATTTTCTCAGTTGAGATGAGCTCTCATTTATTTTACTCATAATATACTTCTATGGCATATCTATGTATAGTATAGACAACAATATACTTATCATATGTATACCGGTGTATACACTGTATAGTATACTGACTGCATGTATGATAATATTTGGGAAAAAGTTTTTTTTATTTTATTATTATTAATAATGTTTACAATATTTATAGCGATAAAGAAAAACAAAAGTTCAACAGTTTGTTGTCTTGTTTTATATATATATATATACTGTATATATTTTTTTCGGTATTTTGCAGTTTTAAAGGATCATTTGAATTTATAATTATGATTATATTTTAACGATAATATAATATTGTATTTTACAATACACACACACACTAGTATTTTTTTGTTATGTGTGTAAACCTTTAAGACCACACTATCTATAATATTTATATACCTGTATACAAATATATAGATAGTATATACAGTATATAAAAGTGTAAAACAATATTATTATTATTTTTTTAATTTTCTCTATAACTTGTGATTTATGCATAATATTACACTTTTATTTTTTAGTTAATTTTTTAGTTTTTTTTGTTGTTGTATGAACTGTGCTCACAAAGTTATGTTTATAWTATATAAGTTATATACAGTGTTAATAATATATATTTTTTGTATTAAAAAAATCATAAATGATTAAGTATATATATATATATACAGCATATAGTTTTTTTTGATATCATATTTTATTTAAATTTTTGTTTTTATTGTTKTTTTTTGGAAATATATATAACTATTATTCAACTATTAATATCATTAATTTATAGACTTATATTTCATGATTTAACTTTTATGTTGTTGTTGTTGTTTAGTATTAATATACAACTATTTGTTAGATTTGACAAATATGTATAATACCTTAACAAATATTTTATTTATTATTAWTAATAATAAATATTTCATGTTATATTGTAAACACTTATTTTATTTTTAGGTATTTTGATAATATAATAACATTTTTATTTAAATATTTTAAATAATTTACTGTAGTTTGTTTGCATAAAGTTTTTCACAACATTTACAAAATTCAAAGTTTAAAYACAATAAATACCGGTATATATATATATATTGATATATACAATAGTRCAGTACTAATAAATACTGTATATATATTATCAAAACTTAATACAGCAGTATATTTTTGAAAAATGCAATTAACCATTTTTGTTAATAACATTTTTAACTAGTAGTAGTAATAATAATAATTATTATTATCCAGGATATGACTACCAATGGTGTTTACCATCATTAGTGGATATATATATATATATTTTGAAATAAAAATAAACATTAACATGGTTATATATAGTACATGATTCAATAATAAACACCACAATTAAACATTAAATATCTATAATAATAATAATAATACATATAGTTATTTACCATAAATATACTGTATTTAATGCTATTTAATAGCATATTTTTCAATATCTATATATATTGAGATCATTTATATCATTATTATTATTATTCTAATTATCATTAAGTCTTAATAAGTTTTAAATACAGGTCAGATAAAACTTTTTATTTATTTTTATTTTTTCGACAAAAAATATAATATTTAGTTAACTAAAATCACGAGTGTTTTTCTTTAAAATAAGTAAAAATAACAACAAAAAAAGTAAATAAAAATTTTTCCAAAATATATTATATTAAACACTGTACAGTATATAAATGAAGTTTTTATTTTATCATAAAAGCCAATGTTAGTAAAAAAAATGTTTTTGAAAAGTTTATCATATTTTGTCATAAATTMTCTCTCTCTCTCTATATATATATATATATTATTATTATTATTATTAAATCATATATATRTGTGTGTGTTTTAGACAACTTGTTCAACAGTAATAAATATAACTATGATTTTTCATAATTATTTGGCATTTACTCCAGATATTTAACCTTATATAGATATAGCTATTTATTATAATATTATTGTATATATATATATATATATATATATACTTTATTAGTTATATAGTTGTATATAATTTCAATATCATATAATTTTTGACAATAAAATTATTTATACAGACTAGAAAATATTTTTTTTGCTAACAAAATAACATATTTTACTTTAGATAACTAAGTTAATAAATAGCCATTAATATGGGAGTGAAAGATAGATAGATAGACTAAATATCATCCATTATACTGTATATTATCTATTATTTTATGTGTGTGTTCACAAAATATAAAGATACTCTAATATTATAATAATACTAACGACACAAATAATATACAGGTATTCAACTAATTTTTTTWAAAAAATAGTTATAAATAAAACAATTATTGCATTTTGAAAGTAATTGATATGAAGCTATTTTTGCCAATAATTTTTTTAACAAATAATTGCTTGAAATCGGAGATCATATATATTTATATATATAAGTTTATATATATACACTGTATTTATAAAACACTACAACAACAACAAATGGGGAACCAATTGTTTTTAGTTAGTCCACTGAAAKAGAGAGAGAGAGAGAGAGAGAGGACTGGACTATAAAAACTAGTGTATAGTTGTCTTGAGTGGTGAAGGCATATGTGAATGATAGCACTTAAATATAGGGTAAAAGCCATTTGATTAATAAAGTTTTTTTTCGCTGTAAAAACTAATTGCAAATTATTTTTAAAGAGAAATCTTAAAGTTATCAGTAGTTATAATAAGTGGTCTATCAGTCAGTCCTATTGTGTACTGTATATATACATACAGTTTTTGCCAGCAAAATGAGTGGGTCTAAGAGTCGGGAGATAGATAGAGAGGGAGTGGGACATACTCACAATCAGCGCAGCACAGGTATCCCCAATACAATGGTCTGCATATGTGTGTGCGCTTATCTATTTATAATACACACACATATATATCTTATGTGTGATGGCTTATTGATAGGAAAGTCACTTTTTATTTTAGTTGCACTTTTTTTAGGCACAAATTATTGCCTGTCAATTGTGAGAGACGGCAGTAAAAATGTTAGTCAGAGAGAGAAGTAAAATAAAATATATATATATAAAGTACATAAGCCTGGGATGAGTTGGGCCTTGAAAGTCAAGACACTCTGACTCTCTCTCTCTCTCTCTCTCTCTCTCTCTCTCTCTCTTTGAAATATATAATGAACACACCGGGCTTTTTTATGCT